ACACACACACACACACATTTTAGAATGCAAACAAAAATTACATGTAATTAAAAAAAGAACGCAACTAGAGAACTTTGTTTTAATTTATTTCTCTGCTTTCGCACGCAAGTTGCGTATTCTCGAAGCAAAATGGAATGAAATGATGGGAAATCTCACCGATGGACAACGAGATCATGGACTTGGCGGGATTAGGCTCGACCACGAGACTCTCCACGATCGATCTTATGGGGTTGTGCGTGTTCCTCGCGATATCCGACGCCTGGACGTTCCATTGGTCGCGACGTACAGGCACCGACATCGTGAAAATTACTTGAAACTACGCCAAAAATTTCCCGCGAACTTAACACCTCGAAATTCACCACGTCGCCTCGTTGAAATTAACCGGCAATACAACAGGTCGTCAGAATACGATGGATTTCAATGGTCGTGGCGATTTCCTTGTCGAGAAGAAGAGATCGAAAGATCAGCGAAAGAAGACAATCCTTGACGAAACGGCGTTCCATCACTGATTGTGAGAGGAGATCGGTTCTCCGAGTCTGCCGATCGATAATCGAAATGTTCCACTGTAGACCGGGGAACGAACGAACCGGTCAGATTGGTCTGCTAGAGTCCACACCTTCCTTCATAATTAATTTAAATGGGTTCTCTGTTTACGCAGACTTCTCTTATAAATTAGTCATCATTGCTACGCGAATATTTACGCTAGATCTGCTATCTTTATCAGCGTAGCCGATCGGCAAATAATTCCGATCGTTCCGCGCAGACTAATCGAAATAAACGAGACACTTTTTAGTAATTTTTCATTTGAAATTTTTATTCGAAATATTAAGTAGTGGAACGTTTTCGAAAAATATTCTTACGTTGCAAGAGCGCCGACGAGGTTAATAAATGAAAGTTTCAGACAGAGTGGAACTTGTAAAAAAGGAAAAAAAACAAAAATTCTTCTGTCGAAGGAAGACACGATTTGTTCGTCGATATTTGCAGCAAATACTGGCTTGAAAATGGATTTTTGATTAAATGTTTCTAAAATAATTTTTATTATAAAATTCTCAACGTGTAACACTTCTTCCGACGAAAATTCCACGGAAACAGATATTTCTTTTTTTCACGCGACATGTATAAATAGTTGGAGCAGAATTTTCTTTAAAAAACGAAAACAAGAAACAACCTGTTAATTTCGACCCTTGGTTCTACGAAGGTATGAACTTTCCCTTATCTCTTAAGATTTTCCACTGTCGAGTAAC